TATCCATACCAATATTTATCATAAACTATCTCACCTTCCATTGATTATACCAGTGAACTCATACAACCCATATATCTACAAAATAGCTGCCTTTCGTGCATTAACCAAACGTGCTTTTACACACTGCACGAATAACAAGGACACGTTAAGAGCTTAAACGTCTTGAGGACATAGCTAAAATGCATGGTTACAAAAAACACCTTATTCGTAAATTAGCGAACGCCTATTCCAACAGGGGTACTCCGACACCCAATAACCTTGTATCGCAAAGTGGGAACACTTACAACACGCACCGCATAAGTTCTAGATTATAACCACAACATGAAAAGCTTATATAAAGAAATTGCCCATCACAGAGGTGATAGATTAACATATAAGTGTGTTCCCCACTATCTATAACATCCCTTAGAAACAGTAAGGACAACACCGACATGCTTAGGGTTCCTGGCATTTATAAGATTATGCTGAGAGACAATAGATTCCGCACGATCTTGAGCACGTCGGCGCCACCACACGATCTCTCAAAATAAGGCTGGCTGAACACAAGTATGGTATCAGTAAAAGAAAATACAACACTGCCCTAGCCAGGTATGCCACGGACAATGACATCTAAGTCCATCTAGTCCAAGCTTCCATCATAAGCTTCCATTTTATGTAAGTATTTGGCTACTCTGCGGTCAATAATTTGCCAAGTACATTAACTGAACTCTAAAACATATAGCTGTAATCTAACATATTCTTGTTATGTAACCTGTTTTACATGTATTATGCTTGTAAACATTCTGCTCTCAACCTCGGTGGTGCTCTGCGGAGCCGAGGCCGTCTTCGGAAATAAAGATTTATACAAAGTGAAGTGAAGACCAAGCTTCCATCATAAGACAATCTATGCATGACGACCAAATAAGGACACTGGAAGCTCTCGAAATATTCAAATCTGTAGAGAGCGTCTATTGCATTAATTTCTAAGAAGAAGGACAAGTATCTTATGCATGTCAATTATTATACCTAAGGGAGCAGTCTAATTAAAATATTATTTTAAATTTTTAAGAGAATTACAGTAGAGTGTCGATTTTCCGAAAGTCAATCATCCGAAAGAATTCTAGTCGGCAAATTTAAATTTTCGCCAGTGCTGTGGCACTTCAATCTTTGCCTATGTCTTGGGCTACTCAAATATTTTACGTTTTTGATACTAAATTAACATCTGGAGTATAGAGGAGAAGGTGGTATTATGGAACCCCAATTACNTTTTTTTTTTTTTTTTTTTTTTTTTTTTTTTTTTTTTTTTTTTTTTTTTTTTTTTTTTTTTTTTTTTTTTTTTTTTTTTTTTTTTTTTTTTTTTTTTTTTTTTTTTTTTTTTTTTTTTTTTTTTTTTTTTTTTTTTTTTTTTTTTTTTTTTTTTTTTTTTTTTTTTTTTTTTTTTTTTTTTTTTTTTTTTTTTTTTTTTTTTTTTTTTTTTTTTTTTTTTTTTTTTTTTTTTTTTTTTTTTTTTTTTTTTTTTTTTTTTTTTTTTTTTTTTTTTTTTTTTTTTTTTTTTTTTTTTTTTTTTTTTTTTTTTTTTTTTTTTTTTTTTTTTTTTTTTTTTTTTTTTTTTTTTTTTTTTTTTTTTTTTTTTTTTTTTTTTTTTTTTTTTTTTTTTTTTTTTTTTTTTTTTTTTTTTTTTTTTTTTTTTTTTTTTTTTTTTTTTTTTTTTTTTTTTTTTTTTTTTTTTTTTTTTTTTTTTTTTTTTTTTTTTTTTTTTTTTTTTTTTTTTTTTTTTTTTTTTTTTTTTTTTTTTTTTTTTTTTTTTTTTTTTTTTTTTTTTTTTTTTTTTTTTTTTTTTTTTTTTTTTTTTTTTTTTTTTTTTTTTTTTTTTTTTTTTTTTTTTTTTTTTTTTTTTTTTTTTTTTTTTTTTTTTTTTTTTTTTTTTTTTTTTTTTTTTTTTTTTTTTTTTTTTTTTTTTTTTTTTTTTTTTTTTTTTTTTTTTTTTTTTTTTTTTTTTTTTTTTTTTTTTTTTTTTTTTTTTTTTTTGTTCTATCAATACATTCTGTCGCTTTTTATCGTCTGAAGAAGAACTAGTAAGGATCGAAAATGTTTATGATTTTTATTCGTATTTTCTCCAACACCGGTAACTGGTTCAGGTATGTATTGATTTCCCAAAGGTTTTGTTTGTACGTTGGCCTTTTGTTTTCATACCTCTGGGGGACCTGGGGCTTTAAAAATCCCACTTCTGACCCCAGTGTGACAATGCCAGAGTGCCCCCTATGCTTTGGCATCACAGGACCAAAGGGTCGACATCATGTCGGCAAAGACTATAATGACTAATTCATCAGGACTGACACCACTATGTCTTCTGAGTAGACGCAGAGACCATGATGGCCGCTTATTTTATTTGTTGCGCATGAGCAGTCACATTTGTAGGCGGCCAGATTCGGGATGGAGACACCTGATAGACAACTGGAAGAAGTGCATGAAGTTAACAATTAACAATACCTGTTTATTTTTCTAGACTAGTTACAAGCTATATACAGATGCTAATAATATGACAAGTAGAAAGGTGAACCTTATCATTATACAGATTCTTTGTGCTTAGCAGATGCTATTATTACAATCACGGCCCTGACTGCAAGAGAGAGAGTATACAATCGTTCACACATTGATAAATACCTTAAGAGTTTGTAGAAATTGAAGATCTGTTCAGAATTTTCAGGTAGTAGGAACTCTCTTTCTTCTGGAGCAGCAACGATTTCTCTTGAGCGATGGCAAGCAGCTGGACACACACAGTTCAAGAATAAAACTGCATGACAACAATGACTCATCAACCCCTCCTTTTTATTAGGGGGTTTGTCCTGGTTTTTCCATGACCTTACTAGTAGTTTTTTTTTTTTTTTTACTGTCCAATAGTTGATTTTTGATCATTGATTCCGGGTGACACATCCAATGTGTCGCCTTCAACAAGGAAGTAAGTCTGTGGGAACCAGTTTTAATTGTCTTTAACACTTTTGTTTTGTCTCTAAATTTTTCTTCCTACAAATAATATTTAAACAAAATATTTCACCAATTTCGGCTCTCACAATTTATAAAATTTCTATCTTAATAATCAAAAATAAAGAAATAAAACCAGTAAAACAAACATTCACTTGAAAAGCAAACAATTTGTAACTTCTATATTGCCACTGTCAGTTGGAGGATACATGACTGCTGTTGGTAGGTGGATATGTTGTATATATAATCTTGCAGGGATTGCAAGATTTATGTTGGATGGATGTATATTTTCCATGAATTTGAGATTGCTACCTTTCTTATAGATGATGGCCTGTTTCCTTATGGTCCTTATAGTTGATTAAAGCTGCCTTGTAAATTTCCAACAACTGAAGTTATCTGAGCTGTATTCTATCTGTTGTTGTGTGTAGAATTTTGGTCCAGTTGAAATGGACTTCTACATTTTGGTCTCTGGCATATGCTGATAGGTCGAGGCCTTTAGAGATGTTCATTCGGTGTTCCTTTAGGATGGTGGCAATATTCCGACATGAGGCTCCCATGTACTTTAACTTTCTGTTGGATCTATCATTCATAAGGTGATGGAATATACTCCCTGGCAAGTGATGCCAGATCAGTGGGTCTTTGGCATTTCTAATAAGATTAAATATGGTGGTGCTCCTTTTGAAGGCCATGTCGATGTTGTAATTTGGGCTATCTTTCTGTATAGAGGAGTTAATGTCACATTCTATATTTACTTTAACTTTCTGTTGAGAAAAATCAAGAGAGAATTAAAGTATATGGGTGCTACACGTTGGCATATCGCCACGTAAAGGAACACCAAATGAACATCTCTAATAGACCTCATATCTATCACCATATTAGCATATGGCAGAGAGACAGAGATAGAAGTCCATTTAATCAGACCAAAATTTTACACAGAATAGTGGATAGAACACAGCTTAGATATCTTGCATTGATAGAAATTTACAAGGCAGCCTTAAGAAAACAGGCCATCAGCTTTAAGGAAGATAACACAATTGATGATCTGTGGAAAATATATATTAATTCAACATAAATCTTGCAATCCCTGCAAGATTATATATACAACATATCTATCTATCAGCAGCAGTCATGTTATAAAGCATTCTAAAATCATACAATTCATATTATAAAATTAGCCTGACAATGTCCTTATAAAATTGACATTAAAGAAAATCAGCAATCTTCCATACTTGAAACTGCTATAGATGTTCAATTTCATATCGGCTTAACCAGACTCAGGCCCTCAGAATGTGCCCAAAAATGTTTATTAAATTGCTGAAAAGTGTGAGAAAGGTGTGAATTTTTATGATAATTCTAGCTTGTAGATTCAATAAATTTTATTATTCAAAGTATTGAAACCTCTGTTAAAATGCAGATGCTTCAATGTGTTTTATGTATGAAGATTATTTAGTAATCAAAAATAATAGTTAAATTTTTTTATTATTTTTATGACAAACTATTTACAATTATATTTGTTGATGTAGCGTCTTATTAAACAATGAATTCAAACTACTGATTTTGAAAAATCATCTCAATACTCTGCCAGCTAAGCCAACTAAATTCTTAAAATTAAAGTTGCTATTAATTTGAATAGTTTATATGATGGCAACATCAAGTAGCTTTCTAGCCACTCTTTGGAAAGCATTCAACATTGATCTTTTTTAAACAAATTTAGAAATTTTTATAAAGAATAAGCACTTAAAAATTGCAGCTTTCAAATTGTCTTCCAGTAGTTGCCATTTTACAATTGTTTATATTGTAGCTTTATATTTTATAAACAATTACAAAAATCTGAAATTTCTAAATTTGTAGTTGTCTAATTGGATATTTTATGTATAAAATTTACTTATTTTGTAAAGCAAAATTTCTTTGGAGAGCACTATCAGCATAGATAATTAATATTTGTTTTGCTTTTTTTATTAAATTATCATTTATAAACTTAAAAAAATTTTTATTAGAATATAATTTCACACTTCTGATTAGAAAACAAAATTCTTTAGATAACTAGATATCGAGAAGGACTGATAAGATTCGATCCAACAACTGATCCTTTGAAGTCAGAATTGGAAACGGGAAAATTCACTGTGCTGGTAAGAGAAATATTAAAAATATTCTTAATTCAAGGCTGATCATTGAGTTTATAGAATGGCAGTACCATTGTACAAGCATATCACTGAATAACCATTCAAGATTTAGTAAACCCTTTGCAGATGGCAGTAGAATGTGTATCTGAGAAAATGCTTATACCATTGCATACTTTTTTATATTTTAATTAGTAAGTGTAGAATTGAATTGTGATTTTATCTGTTTTATACACTATGCCCTAGAAGAGTTGAATATACAATAGTGTAAGTAGACTTGAAGACAACAGTTTTTCATGTTGTTTTGTGTGACATGACATACGTGTTATGAAAGTAGAGATTTATACAGACAGTATATGAAGGAAGCTTCCATTTTCAGGTGACCCAGATGTTTTAATTCTTAATCTGTATGTAATAGCTATTACATTCCAAGGTCAGTATGTCTATCAACTAACATGACAGTTTGTTATAAATAAGCAAACAGTCTTTGACATTATGGTAGCAGTTACGCTTGATGGCCAGATGGCCAAGGCATCTGCCCAACACTTTGGGAAACAAGAAAATCTTTGAGTGTGGTGTGTTTGGGATATGCTAGGCCCCATTCCTTACCATCCATTTGCCCTCCATTGCAGGCCTATTCAAGCCCATGACAGATGCAATTAAAAAAGCCTTCTTCATGCCACAGGGTGAAGAGTCAAAATGGAAATAAAAGTAACAGTTACAAATATCACAAATTTTAAAATTTAGAAAAATGTTTTTTACATTTTTCAGTTTCATTTTATACAAATTAATTAATGACTTATACCAGATGGCCAGTAATTCATTTACAAAGTTAAAGAACATTGCAATCATAGATGGAGAAAGAAGAATAGGTATTGTTTGTCGAATTGCAAAATACTCCACATCATCAAATATATAACCACTTAAAAATACAAAGCAATTTACAAATTAGTTAGCAAAATATGTAATATTACATTAATTTTTGGCTAGTAAATACGTCAGAATTATGGATTAATATTCTCCTGCCAACTAATAATAGTTGAATGAAAGTTGTGCGTAAGTGTATTATAGTACAGTCATTCCAGAAATTATCATGATCAGCTTGTGTATAAATTGCTTTTAATTAATTATTTTGGCATTAAGTTAGTTTATTGATACATAAAATAAGAAATTTTAAAGCAAATGATTTCTTTTAATGGTTGAAAGTGATTTGATTTTATACAAGATTATTAAGTAATTAATCTGCTAATTAGGATTTGGGGAACCAGTTTTAATTGTCTTTAACACTTTTGTTTTGTCTCTAAATTTTTCTTCCTACAAATAATATTTAAACAAAATATTTCACCAATTTCGGCTCTCACAATTTATAAAATTTCTATCTTAATAATCAAAAATAAAGAAATAAAACCAGTAAAACAAACATTCACTTGAAAAGCAAACAATTTGTAACTTCTATATTGCCACTGTCAGTTGGAGGATACATGACTGCTGTTGGTAGGTGGATATGTTGTATATATAATCTTGCAGGGATTGCAAGATTTATGTTGGATGGATGTATATTTTCCATGAATTTGAGATTGCTACCTTTCTTATAGATGATGGCCTGTTTCCTTATGGTCCTTATAGTTGATTAAAGCTGCCTTGTAAATTTCCAACAACTGAAGTTATCTGAGCTGTATTCTATCTGTTGTTGTGTGTAGAATTTTGGTCCAGTTGAAATGGACTTCTACATTTTGGTCTCTGGCATATGCTGATAGGTCGAGGCCTTTAGAGATGTTCATTCGGTGTTCCTTTAGGATGGTGGCAATATTCCGACATGAGGCTCCCATGTACTTTAACTTTCTGTTGGATCTATCATTCATAAGGTGATGGAATATACTCCCTGGCAAGTGATGCCAGATCAGTGGGTCTTTGGCATTTCTAATAAGATTAAATATGGTGGTGCTCCTTTTGAAGGCCATGTCGATGTTGTAATTTGGGCTATCTTTCTGTATAGAGGAGTTAATGTCACATTCTATATTTACTTTAACTTTCTGTTGAGAAAAATCAAGAGAGAATTAAAGTATATGGGTGCTACACGTTGGCATATCGCCACGTAAAGGAACACCAAATGAACATCTCTAATAGACCTCATATCTATCACCATATTAGCATATGGCAGAGAGACAGAGATAGAAGTCCATTTAATCAGACCAAAATTTTACACAGAATAGTGGATAGAACACAGCTTAGATATCTTGCATTGATAGAAATTTACAAGGCAGCCTTAAGAAAACAGGCCATCAGCTTTAAGGAAGATAACACAATTGATGATCTGTGGAAAATATATATTAATTCAACATAAATCTTGCAATCCCTGCAAGATTATATATACAACATATCTATCTATCAGCAGCAGTCATGTTATAAAGCATTCTAAAATCATACAATTCATATTATAAAATTAGCCTGACAATGTCCTTATAAAATTGACATTAAAGAAAATCAGCAATCTTCCATACTTGAAACTGCTATAGATGTTCAATTTCATATCGGCTTAACCAGACTCAGGCCCTCAGAATGTGCCCAAAAATGTTTATTAAATTGCTGAAAAGTGTGAGAAAGGTGTGAATTTTTATGATAATTCTAGCTTGTAGATTCAATAAATTTTATTATTCAAAGTATTGAAACCTCTGTTAAAATGCAGATGCTTCAATGTGTTTTATGTATGAAGATTATTTAGTAATCAAAAATAATAGTTAAATTTTTTTATTATTTTTATGACAAACTATTTACAATTATATTTGTTGATGTAGCGTCTTATTAAACAATGAATTCAAACTACTGATTTTGAAAAATCATCTCAATACTCTGCCAGCTAAGCCAACTAAATTCTTAAAATTAAAGTTGCTATTAATTTGAATAGTTTATATGATGGCAACATCAAGTAGCTTTCTAGCCACTCTTTGGAAAGCATTCAACATTGATCTTTTTTAAACAAATTTAGAAATTTTTATAAAGAATAAGCACTTAAAAATTGCAGCTTTCAAATTGTCTTCCAGTAGTTGCCATTTTACAATTGTTTATATTGTAGCTTTATATTTTATAAACAATTACAAAAATCTGAAATTTCTAAATTTGTAGTTGTCTAATTGGATATTTTATGTATAAAATTTACTTATTTTGTAAAGCAAAATTTCTTTGGAGAGCACTATCAGCATAGATAATTAATATTTGTTTTGCTTTTTTTTATAAATTNTAATTATTACTAAGTTTTTGACTGTATAAATATCAGTTTATATATAATTATATATAAAATGCTTTCTACTTGTGGGCATTAAGATTTTTTTTTCTTATGCCTGTCATGACATTAATTAGATCCACAACAGAGAGTGATCAGACGGTGATGAACGATCCAGACTTGACCCGAGTTCCTCAGAGTAATAGTCCTTAATCACTTTGGTCCCACTGTTCCAATAGTTCAAGAATTATCGAACAAAACTTTTTTAACCGAAAAATAATTATTGGGTATTATTAAACATTGCAAAATTTATATAAAATATAGTCTTCCATGTACTTGAAAAGTTAAAATAAAATTATTTTGAAATTTTATAATTTACTGTAGCACTGGTATTTATTTTTTAAGTTTTGAAACTCAAGAATACTTAGCTATATATTCTGTTAAATGAGAATTGAATATATATTACATTTTGGTGTCTACAATAAGAAGTATACAACAACCCAATCCACAAAATCAATTCTGTAATGACAATGAAATAAAATGACCATTAACACAAATTATCGGTTGTGCTTTATAAACTGAAAAAGGCATTTTTAATGAAGGAAGAAAATTATTTTAGGTAGTTTGTCTTGTTGTTTAAGTAGAGAAAAGAGTATTTATGAATTGTTTAGATATTCGTGATAGTTTTATCTAATTATTTTTCTGGTGTTTACAATGAAATATCAAACATATTCTAGATTACATAAGAAGCTTATTAGAACTTTTTCATGTTTCATTTTCTTTAACATTGGGACTTTGCTTACATTTTCTTCTTGAATAGTTTTTTGAACAAAATTTTCCAGTAAAAGTAACAAAGAAAGGGTGCATTTTTCTGAATATTTGTTTAATTGTTCTCCACTCACATAAATTAATTCGCTCTCAATTATTTTCATATCTGTTATAAAATTATTGTTTACCATTAATATTAGGCAATATTAATGACAATAAGCAAAACAAATGAATTAATTAATTTATTAATTTATTTTTTTTTTTGAATGAAATAGATTACATTAGACAGAAAACAAAACTTAATAATTTAATCAATTATTAAAACTATAAAACTAAAACAAAATAATTAATACTTTTTAGAAACAAACATTTTATCATTTTAAAAAGTTCAATATTTCAAAACGGTAATATCATGGGCAAATCTGGTCCACGAACATATTTCACACATCACTTGAGAAACAATAGAAATAGGCTTGCTTTTTGTATATACAGAATATATAAAATATTTGTGACCCACCTACCTACAGTTTACACGCAGTTTGGCCTACCAGTTGAACAGTTTGGACACCACTGCTTTAAAACATTAAATATTAAATGCTGTTTAATTCACTTAAATCTTTTCACGTTTGATTTTGTTCAGATTTTAGATTTGAGGCTACAGTGCCTGAATGCTGAATTCAAAGAGCATTTATCCTGATAAAAATTTTCACCCTTTGATTCTAAAAGTATTAAATGTTTGTTTTATTTATTTTGTCTAATTTCAACACAAATGGAGCTGTTAAAGTTTATAATGTATGTTTATAAAAAATATTTACCAGATAAATTACTCATATCATTTTGTAATTAAACATTTATTTTTAAGACACTTAAAAATACAAGATCTGTAATGGATGCAATATATATTACACCGATATTTCAAAAACTATCATAGTATCGGTTAGGCTGGCATGAAATATTATACAATGATAGTTTTGTTTCCTAAACAAGCAAGAATTGTAGTTACAACTTAAAAATCAATTATGTTTCTGTGTATAAATGTTTGTAGCTGTGGCATGTTTGGTAGTCTTTAGTTGTTTTAGTTTGGTTTGTAATGTTGAATAAGAAACATAATTTTTTTTATTGTTGTGTTATTTAAGGAGTTTAAGTGGAAATATTTTGAATTAATATTACATATTTTTTATTTTTTAATAATATATTAATAGTATAATTTTGTTTTTTGTAGCCTACAAGAGACAACAGTGGTGCAGCATTGGCAGTTTTTACAGCTGGAAAGCATATTCCTACTACCACTACTCATCAGACAACTCTTCAAGGTGTTGTTTATCAATTAGATGTAGCATTAGAAAGGTAAAATTGTACTGAAAGTAATAATTTAAATGAAATATTAACTACCTTTAAAAAAATTGAGAAATAATTATTTAAAAATTTCTCTATTCAAGCCTTGAGACACAGAGAAGTGGGATGATATTTATTTATAATATGACTGGTTCCAAATATGCTAATTTTGATTACGAACTCAGTCAAAAAATTTTAAGTTTATTGAAGGTAAGAAATTTTTTTGTTCTTAAATGCCTTGTCTGTAGAAAAGATAGACAACAATTATACAAACTAAAAGAAAAAATTAACTAAATATCTCTTATTCAGTGATTTTATCATAAATTTATTAATATTTGATGTAATTAATTAATGTAGGGTGGTTATCCTGCTCGTTTGAAAAAAGTTTTGATTGTTAGTGCTCCATTATGGTTTAAAGCACCCTTTAAAATATTACGTTTGTTTGTCAGAGAAAAGTTGAGAGACAGGGTAAGTACAAATCTAATAAATTGAATTGCACTATAATTATTTTGTTTAGAAACTTTAAAAGTTACATTTATTTTTAATAAAATAGGTTTAGCTTAGTTGACTTATATGAAAATACAATAACAGGCTATTAAATGTTCAAGATTTTTAATGAAAACATAAATTCAAAAGTTACATATATTTACAATTAAAATATCTTTAATTAATTAATTAAATACATGGCTTTTATGACCTTTCCTATATTATTATATCATCAGAATAAAATTTTTAAATTTTAATTTGAATTAAAACAAATTCTTTATGTAGAGTAAAAATACAAAAAAAAAAACTTTTAATTTATGAAATAATTTAACAATATACAATTTATTAGACACTTATAATCTAAAATATTACAAGGCAACAGACTACATTTGCATGGACAGGAATAAAGTTTATTAAATAAATTAAATGAATAAAAGTTATTAATCAGAGAACAAACAGAACTTCAAACATTTGTAAGAAAATAAAGTTCCAACAAAGAAAATTTACATTTTAAAAACAGTTTTGGTATTGATAGTTTCACAAACATGCATTCAGTGTTTTAAAGATCAGTGTGGAATTCTCCCATTAGACGAAGGTCTAGCCAACAAAAATCTATTTTGTGACAATGTACATGAAATTAAATAAAACATAACATTTTATTTGTTGCTAATACACAAATTAATTGATTTTATCTGTTTATGAGATCCCAAACACATCTAAATTAAACAAATTTTTCAATATTAGAAGAAAGGAGATTGTGACCTTTCGGGTCGGCACCTCTTTAGTGCCCTGTCAGGATCGATACCACCATGTTTATCAGAACACGGAAGCCAAGGCGGTAATTTCCATGTCACACCGTCGCGCAAGCGGTCCCGTAAGTGGTCAGACGGATTCGTAATGTCAGCCGATCGAGAGACAACATAGGGAAGTGACTTGAACTACAATTAATGCTTAACAAGGATTTAATTGAAAAAATATTGGATAAGATACAGAATGCTAAGTTTGTGTTGCGGAGAGAGAGAGTTCACATAACAAGCGTGAGTTGTATAAATACCTGGTGATAGAAGATAGGAGTTCTCGTTGGGTGATAATAGTCCGATGGGGATTAGTCAAGCTAATATCCAACAGCACAAGAATGGCACAAGATATCCAAATTGAACACTGATCAATGATAGTCAGGGAGTAAACGGTTCGTGTTTCTGTTGTCGGAAGGACGGACGACGACTGACTTTTTCGGCCGTCTCTGGCGGTATTCACTGACGATTTCGGCCATGCAGAGGTTAAAAATTTTTATAATACATTACAAAGTGAATCGTAAATAAGAAAAGAAATTATTATGTATGATATTTAAACATGCAAATGAATTATTTTATTGAGTGTGTTTGGTATAGATGAAATTTTTATTACAAATTAATTACAAATAGTGTTGCATTCAGATTTATCTGAATGCAACACTATTTGTAATTAATTTGTAATAAAAATTTCATCTATANGGATATGTTACACTATTTTTTCGTACGTAAATCAGTTATCCGAAATGTCAGTTATCTGGACAACCCCAGTCCCCAATTGATTCGGAAAATCGACGCTCTACTGTAGTTGGAAAATTGTTGTTTATATGTTTTTAAATAATTTTTAAAAACGTTCCAATTTACGCATTCCTATTTTAAAGAATCCTGAGGAAGATCTCCTAAGTAGATCAAAAATGTTAGAGATTGCAATGGATTAACGAATTTGCAGTTAATTATCTTGGAATTTCTTTTAAGGTTCGTTTAAGTTCTGTAAGAATTAATAACTTTGAGAGCCAAAATTGGTGAAATATTTTGTTTAAATTTTATTTGTCGAGAGAAAAAGTTAGAGACAAAACGAAAGTGTTAAAGACAATTAAAACTGGTTCCCACAGACTGACTTCTAATTGAGTTGATATAGGATTTACTTTCAGTTCCGAATGGCTCCTTATTTCTGTTTTTCACCCTCTTCCCTTCAAAGAAATTGAAATTGATTCATTAACTTTTTCTTCTGAGGATCATATTATCTGCTTGATACTTTTCTCCGTCAGTTTAGGAGTGTGAATTTTATTGGGGTCTGGCGGTTCTTGATGTCTATCTTTAATTTTTTCTCCTATTGCTTTTTCACAGGATTATACAACTCTGACAACAGTTTTTGTGTCAGTGGGAGTCCTCTTTGTTTGTACTTGTTTGGTTTTTTTTACCCCTTGGTTCGGAGGGCTCTTGGAAGCTTATTCCCCTTCCATTATCGTTTCGTCTTCCATATGCATCCCTAACCTTAAGTCGGTTATTAGATCTCTTCCCATTAGGCCGTTCAGTGGATACGTGATTTGATCATTAACGATGTAACATGTAATCAAATTGTAGAGGGCCCATTTTGAATCGGAATTTGCTTCTTCCATATGGATAGATTTTGTGTCCAGTAACTCTCCAGAACTGTATTTTTTTGTCAATCATATGCTCTGTGAAGTTTGCCTATTTTCTGCACTAAATACCTTGACAGCATCACTTCCAAGCTTGTGTCTACAGCTAATTGCGTATTCGCATTGTTGATTTGACAGTGTCATGTCAGCTCTTCATCTTGCTTTCTATCCTTCAGATAATTTATTGTTTCATGGAATTTCGAGATTTTGGTCTCGTATGGCTTTTGTCTCTCCACTTATAATTTTCTCTATTTTCTTGCCAGCCCCTGTTGTTCTTTCTCTCATGCCGCTGTATTTGGGGTTGAGGTGAGGTTGATTTGTTCAAGTTCGCCAATCTGTCCATGAGCCACCCACTCTGTTTCTTGTTTCTTGAGTTTGCGTGCCACCTACTATGTTTCTTGAGTCCCCTTGTTGTTTGCTAAATTTGTTTCTAGCATTTTGATAGCAATTTTGCCACACAAATGGAGGATTTCTATCTGTGTGTTCATTTCTCTGGCTTTTGTGACGCCTTAATTCATCTAATTGTTCCTGTATCTGCCTGATCATTTGATCTATATTTCTATCAGTATGGTCCGCTCATTTGTCTTTGGAATTTCCCCACTAATTGATCTAGTGTTTACTTGCTGATGGCAGCTTTAACTGCTCTATCAAATGTATCAGGTTCTCGTGATATTACTTGTCGCTTGATTTTGTCATTTAACTCACTCAAAAATTAAACAAGCAATCGCTCGTTTTTTTCCTTGGCTTGACATCTTTATGATTTCAGTTTTGTGGGCATTGTTGCCAACTTGCTCTATAATTGTTTCAAAGACAAGTATCTGCAAACGGACGGCGTATATCTGCATGTCCTCTTCACGCCTCTGTACACAAGCGTAAAATTTTTGAAGGTAAAGGGAAAAAGTTCTTTCTCCAACCTCCTGACCATTTGTTTTTTTAAGGTCATCATATTTCTCAATTTCTTTCATACAGGCGTCTTTCCATGCAAATTCTCTCGCAATGCCTGTTAGCCTTAGTTTTGCAATCCTTAAAAGTTGATGTTTTGTCCAGCCTGTCAGTTTTGCTATTTCATCTATTGATTCAAGAAATTTGCCTACTTTTAATCCTGTTGGGTCTCCCAAAAATGTTGGAGTTTAATGGATCAATCTGCCTAAACCACTTGCCGCGGGTACACTTCCTGCTGTCTCTCTGCACAAGCGCCCTGGTGGATTTATTTCTCTTGTCTCCTTCCTTGCCGATCTTGGACATTCTCCGTAACGGGAAGAATTCCCCCGACCCCAACAGACTCCCAGGGGTTTACTCTATACCACTTAAGGACCACAGGTGTGACAGGAACCTTGTGTACATTGATTCAACCAAATGGTCATTGGGAATCAGAATATGTGAGCACAATGCAGACATTCTACGTGGGAGAACTTTACAGCTCTTGCAGTTTACACAGCCAATCCTGACATCAAGACGGCCTTCAACCAACCAAGGCTCATCATCTCTTCACCTCACCCTGAGCACCTGAGGTGGTTGGAGGCTATCTCCATTTACAAATCTAGCCGCACCACCATGTCATTAATTATAAAGAGGAACTCAATTTGTCTGTCGCCTGGCATGCCCTCATCGACATGTACTGTACCTTTAATCGCCGTATACCCACAGCACATGTGCATGTCCAAACCTATGTTTTTGAACTGCAAGTGGGTTCAATTTTGTTTAAATGTTGATGTTCTATTTTTTTTTTCTTTTTTTTGTCCAAACCTATGTTTTTGAACTGCAAGTGGGTTCAATTTTGTTTAAATGTTGATGTTCTATTTTTTTTTTCTTTTTTTTTTTTTTTGTTCTATCAATACATTCTGTCGCTTTTTATCGTCTGAAGAAGAACTAGTAAGGATCGAAAACGTTTATGATTTTTATTCGTATTTTCTCCAACACCGGTAACTGGTTCAGGTATGTATTGATTTCCCAAAGGTTTTGTTTGTACGTTGGCCTTTTGTTTTCATACCTCTGGGGGACCTGGGGCTTTAAAAATCCCACTTCTGACCCCAGTGTGACAATGCCAGAGTGCCCCCTATGCTTTGGCATCACAGGACCAAAGGGTCGACATCATGTCGGCAAAGACTATAATGACTAATTCATCAGGACTGACACCACTATGTCTTCTGAGTAGACGCAGAGACCATGATGGCCGCTTATTTTATTTGTTGCGCATGAGCAGTCACATTTGTAGGCGGCCAGATTCGGGATGGAGACACCTGATAGACAACTGGAAGAAGTGCATGAAGTTAACAATTAACAATACCTGTTTATTTTTCTAGACTAGTTACAAGCTATATACAGATGCTAATAATATGACAAGTAGAAAGGTGAACCTTATCATTATACAGATTCTTTGTGCTTAGCAGATGCTATTATTACAATCACGGCCCTGACTGCAAGAGAGAGAGTATACAATCGTTCACACATTGATAAATACCTTAAGAGTTTGTAGAAATTGAAGATCTGTTCAGAATTTTCAGGTAGTAGGAACTCTCTTTCTTCTGGAGCAGCAACGATTTCTCTTGAG